GCAGCCAAGGCGGCTGTGTAGGCCAAGCCCTTCTACGGCATCCAGGCGACGGAGCGTGCACTGGGCCCCGGGGCGCCGTCCCCGCCGCGGACACACCCCAGGACAGGGCCACCTTCCTTGGATGTTGCCCAGAGGCCCTGACGGGCCGGCAAAGCCGCCCTCTGACTGCTCTCTGACCAGGAGCCAGGAAATGCTTTGCAGCTGCTGCTTCTGAAGTATCCCCGCGCCTCCGCGCAGCCCGCCCTGCGTGGGCACACGTGTGCCCAGTCTTTTCCTGTGGGATTCTTGGGGGCTCGGTGTGGCTGAAGACTCTTGAGGTGTATAGGTGACTTCCACTTCAGGGCAGATGAGGAAGGTGTTACTTCCTCTGACAAGGCTTGGGAAAGAGAACGTGCCTGTCTACCATCTTGGCCTTTCATCTCAGCTCTGCAAAGCAGGGCCGAGTCACCGTGTCCAGAGGCAGAAGGTGGCGGCAAGGGCAGCATCCTGCTCCGCATCTCCTGGGCCCTGGTCTGCTAAGTGTGTTCACCTCTTCTTACCCCTTGGAGCCAAGCCTGTTGGGACAGTTTCTCACCCTGCAGGGCATGTTCTCTTTGCCTGGTCTTCCTTCTCTCCCTTTCCCTAGTAGTAGAGGGTGGAGGAGAAGATGTATCTTAAGTTTAATAATTGAAATTTTGGGGTATGACCAAGGAATGACCCCCTCAGGCTCTCTCCCAACTCAGTGAGGAGGAAACAGATGTTAAGATTGTTGTTTGGAGAGATACATGGATTGGAGCCAAGATGGAGGCATAGGTGGAGACACCGTGCCTTCTCACACAACCAAGTTTGAGACAACTAAATATTAGCAACAGAAAACACAGCCAGAACACAGAAAACTGAACTTTTCAGAAGTCTGTTAACAACAAATTCTTCAGCCTGACCAGTAAGAGGGGCGAAACCAGCAGCTGGAGGAGCAGGGTAGCGCAGGAAAACTCGGTCAGATGGACTCATGCATGCGGAATCCAGGCGCAGGATTGGACCTAGTGAGAGACACAGCGAGCGACCTCGGGGAAACAGCGAGGGAGCAGGGCTGCGGGTTGACTGTGGTCGCACATTCGTGCGAGGATAGACAAGCGAGGGAGTGGGCGATTGGACGGGACCCAGCGGGTCCCCACGGCCAGCGGCAGCAGAGGGCCCCACCATTTCCCTGTTCTGACCCCACCTCCACATACAGCGTCATAACCCAGCGACTTGAGTGGCCCTGCCCTGGTGAACCACCTAAGGCTCTGCTCCTCACCCAGCAGTGAGAAACAGCAGAGGGTGCCGCCATTCCCTACCACCCCCCTGCTCTGACCACGCCACGCCCCCACATACAGCGTCACAAACCAGAGACCTGGGAGTCGAAGGCTCCGCTCCTCATACTTAACGGGCGCAAACAGACCAAAAATGGCTCAAGAAGATCTCAAAGCCCCAGAGCCTATAAATCTAAGTGATGAAGAAATAGCAAAACTCTCAGACGCACAGTCTAAAACACTGGTGATCAGGATCCTCACAGAACTGGTTGATTATAGTCACAAATTACAGAAACTTATGAAGGCAAAACTAATTGAAATGAATGGAATTGCACAGGAAACCAATAGCGATGAAAAGGAAACTGGGACTCAAATCAATGGAGTGGACCAGAAGAAAGCAAATAATGGCCAAACAGAAAAGAGTCAAGAAGCAAGAATTCAAAGAAATGAGGAGAGGCTTAGGAACCTCCAGGACATCTTGAAACGCTCCAACATCCGAATTATAGGGGTACCAGAAGGGGGAAAGGCACAGCCACCAGTGGGAAACTTATTTGAACAAATAATAAAGGAGAACTTCCCCAATCTGGCAAAGGAAATAGACTTCCAGGAAATCCAGGAAGCTCAGAGAGTCCCAAAGAAGTTGGACCCAAGAAAAAACACCAAGGCACGTCATAATTACATTAGCCAAGATGAAAATGAAGGAGAGAATCCTAGAAGCAGCAAGAGATAAGGGGACAGTCACCTACAAAGGAGTTCCCATCAGACTGTCAGTGGATTTCTCAAAAGAGACCTTACAGGCAAGAAGGGGCTGGGAAGAAGTATTCCAAGTCATGAAATCCAAAGACCTACAATCAAGATTACTCTATCCAGCAAAACTTTCATTTAGAATGGAAGGACAGATAAAGTGCTTCTCAGATAAGATCAAATTCAAGGAGTTCATCGTCACTAAGCCCTTATTATATGAAATGTTAAAGGGACTTACCTAAGAAAAAGAAGTTAAAAAAACATGAACAGTGAAAGGACAGCAAACTCACAGTTATTAACAACCACACCTAAAACAAAAGCAAACTAAAAGGACAGCTAGATCAGGAGTGGAAACATAGAAATGAAGATCTCAAGGAGGGTTAGCAACAGGGGAGTGGGAGGAGAAGGGGGGAGAAGGTACAGAAAATAAGTAGCATAGACAGTAGATAGAAAATAGATGGAGGGGCAAGAATAGTATGGGAAATATAGAATCTAAAGAACTTGAGACACATGGTCATAAACTAAAGGGGGGGTAATGGTGGGGATGGGGGTAGGGTGGAGGGGAATGAAGGGGGGAATAGAACAACTGTAATGGCATAATCAATAAAAAATAAATTTAAAAAATTTTAAATAAATAAATAAATAAAGATTGTTGTTTGGGTTTTGTTTTTGTTTGTCGTTGTACTTTACAGCTCAAGTAGCACAACCAAGCGCTAGGAAATGCAACACTTTAAACACGGGGCCTCAGGCAGGACCCTAGGCGAAAACAGCACCTCATTGTGGGTTTCTGAGGGCACAGGTCTGACGGCAAGGAGGCCAGGTGACATTCCCAAATCTGCTGCAGGCCGTTCTCCCCCAGGGCAAGTGGACAAAGGCCCAGAGGCAGACCTCCCCGGGAGGTCTGATCCCCAGGCTCAGGGGCAGAGGGGATCTCAGGCAGGAAGGCAGAGTCCATGGTAACACACGCAGGGCAATATGTGACATCCTCATGGCCCTCCGGGGGGGATAGAGAAGCAGGGAAGGAGACGCCGGAGCTGGGGACTGTGTGGAATGCAGGCATGGGCTCCCCTCGAAGACGGGAAGGAACTTGGTGTTTGAGGACATGAGAGCAGAGCCCGTGCTAGATTCAGTGTGAGAAGGAAGGAGGGCAGGGACCACAGGTCCGGCTGTGGGTCTGAGGTTTGAACCGTGCAGCCTGGCCACGGAGCGGACTGAGAGAGGCACCGAGTGGCCCCACACGCCTGCTTCTGACCTTTGCAGGAAGGGGTGAGCGTGGCCGTCTGGGGGACTTCCTGTGGATGGGGTTTGGGGTTTTGTCCCCCTACCCTGTCGTGGGCTGTGAGACACACTTCCCCGCAGCCTTGCAGGGAGGCGTCCCTCTTGCTGAGACCAGGTCCACACGTCCGTTCCTTCCCAGGACTAGAGAGCTCCGAGCGTGGCCCGGGAAAGCCGAAGCGAAGAAGCGTGCTTGTCTTCCCTTTTTCTCCACCTACCCCGCCTTACCCAAGAGTCTGCATACCCTCCAACTTTCCAGGGTGAGACTCTCCTTTAAAACTCAGATAATAAGTCCCGGCACCCACCTCCTGCACTGCACAAGGCTCGGGGTCTTTCTCAGAATTGCATGCATTTGGGGGCCTCACTCGCTGCTGGATGTCTCCCTGCCCCCGACACCTCAGCTGCCCCCCCGTCATTGATCTTCACCACCTTTTCCATCCTGGGGTCTGCTAGCCCCTCTCCGGATGCCTCCGTGGCACGAGAACATGCCCCAGATGTTTATCCGTGACCCACTGACCCAGCGACTCACCCGGGGAGCAGGTGCCTGCTCAGCACCGACCCCACTCCCCCGGCGACGGAGTCTGTGCATTCGTGGCTGGAACCCAGCCACTTGGTTCTCCCTGAATTCCTTTCCATGCCATGGAGACAGGGGTAAGAAACAACACTCTGGAGAAGAAAGCCATGGGGGACACACGTAAAGGAGCCCCCCAAAGGCAGACAAAGGAGGTGAGAGGAGGAGGAGTGGAAGCCGAGGGAACACGGCTTCAAGCAGGAGCGTGTGGTCAACAGGACCAGAAGCAGCCAAGTGCTTGGAGGGAGACATCTGAAAACGCCCTCGGGCCTAGCAGTTCGGGAAGGCGGGGCGTCCTTTTCCCAGACCACGCAGGAGAGGGAACAGTTAGAATCAAATTATCGGGGGGCGGGGGGAGGGGAGAGAATGCAAGAGTGACCCAGCCACCCACCCTGCCTGCTGAAGTACGTGAAGGTGACCACTTAGACCGTGTTCGAAGATGTTGGCTGAGAAAGGGGGTGGAGGGGCAACTAGTAACTGGAGGTTAACCGGAGGTTAACCGGAGGGCAAGGCAAGTAAGGCCGAGGACAGAAGTATCTCACGTCTTCCTATGGTGCCTGTACCGCACATTTACTGTACCGGCCGCTGTTTACTTAGAATACCAGATACTCACCATCTTCCTGACACCCACTTTCCCTCACTGGTCCCGTCACTCCTGTCCTCTGTTCCCTCCCCCTGCCCGAGAAACACACACACACACACACACACACACACACAGTGCATGCTCACACTGCACAGCTGCACACACGGGGACGACCTTGACAATGTCCAGCCACACATCCTTGGGGAGAACACTTCCCGGCCTGTCCTTACATCCCACACCATCTGGCCTCACACCCACAACCGCAGGAACGAGGGCCATTCGGAACCAACAACCTCAGCAGGGAAGGTCCAACTGTGCAGGGACTTGGTCAGACGCAAGGTTTCAGTATGAAGTTCTAGAAAAGGTAAATGATGCTTAAATAAGGAATGAAAATTAACAGCATTTCCGGTTTTATTTCTTGTTGAGATGACAGCAGGAAATTGTGAAAACAGGCGTGACTAGCAAGCTGCCCCTCAGGAAGAAAGCAGCAGGCCCCGGCGGGCCTGGGGATGGGGCCAGGATAGTGGCGGCCGCAGCTTTGGGGTGGCGGGGGTGGCTGGGGGCTGGGGTGGCGGGGGGCTGGGCCACCTTCTTGGTTTCAGCGCCTCAGAAAGGTGCAGGCTTCCAGAAGGGCTGTGGGAGAGAGAGGAGTGGGAGCTTCAGAAACCGGTTTCTGTTGTAATTAGTGTGTTGATTGAGGGTGATACTAAACCAGAGACTTTCCCCTGTGCTTTCGCCACCACCATAGGCTGACGCTCCACTCACACGTCCCCACGGCCCAAGGAAGCACGCGGCTGCTCTGGCCCTCGCCCGCCTGGCTGACCCCCTGCTCTGGCCTCCCCCCACCCAACTCATCTCTGACACTGACGGTCCCCTAACTTCTGGACTGTGAGCCACTGGCTTGTCATCTTTATGCCGATCTGTTTGCAGTAGTGTTCACGGGCTCCTCCGTTCACCAGTGGGTCCCTGCACTGCTAAGAGCCCAGGGTTCAGCTGGGACAGACAGGCGCTGCCCTCCGGGGCGTGCAGTCCACGCCAGCGTGAGCCGGCTGCTGGCAAGAGCGGCCCGCAGCTGGGTTCCTCCAAGTGCTTTCCTAGAAACGCCTACAGCAGGGCTCCGACCGCAGGTGGTGGAGAGCAGGCCTTGCCGCCCCAGCAGCACAGGGACCCCCGGGAAATCTTTGGTGGGAGAGCTACTCTGTGCTTCCTGTAGCGTCCCCTAACGTACAAGAATCAAAAATACCCCCAGCCATTGCCCTGTGTCCCCTAGAGGGCAAACTCCCCTGAGTTGAGAGCCACTGATAGAGACCGTCGGCCTTGCCTCCAACCCTGGACCACCGCCTCCTCCATCCAGCGCTCTGCCTCCATGGGGGGGGGGGGGGGGGGGCGGGGCCTGGCACAGGGGAGGCCGTGCGTGCTGGAATCTCAGCCTCGTCGCCCGGCTAGAGCCTTACAGTGCTCCTGAGCCTCCCAAATGTTTTGAAAGGATTGAATTACTGTCAGTATATTTTTTCTGGCTAAAGTATTTTTTGAGAATTTGTATTCTCTATAGTCGGTAGTTATGGAAACTGTCTACAAATCAGAATTTGTCGTTTCTTAATATACATGTGTTGCCCTGGCTGGTGTGGCTCAGTGGATTGAGCACTGCCCTGTGAACCAAAGGGTCACATGTTCAATTCCCAGTCAGGGCACACGTCTGGGTTGCTGGCCAGGTCCCCAGTAGGGGGCACACAAGAAGCGACCATACATTGATGTTTCTCTACCTCTTGCTCTCTCCCTTCCCCTCTGTTTAAAAATAAGTAAATAAAAAATTTAAAAATACATGTGTGTGTCTATATGCATGCATGTGTATGTACATCCATACATACGTACATACAGGTACACACATGTTTACATACATACGCCCACATTCCATTTTCTTGAATAAAATGATCAGTTTCTTAAAACTCCATAACAGTCCCTATCAGAATTATAAAATTTAGCATATTATCTGCCGCTTTATTTTTTTCTCTCATTCTTTCACCTCATCAATGAGATTGCAACTTCCGGAGGCATTGAGATAACTTAACCTTTTAATGCCCGTCTTCCTCTCTAGTGCCCCTTGGCCCGTCCCCGCCTTGACTTTCCCTGGCTTCTCAGAGAGGCCACCTGGGGCCCACTTACGGGAGGTGGAGCATTGCCCGAGGTTGGCCACAGCGGAGAGGTACTCCGGCCCCAGATACTGCTCGTACGTCGTTTTGCCCTGGAGTCTGGCCAGACACTCGGTGTTGTCGTTGAACAGGAGGTTCTTGGTTTCCGACTGGAACAAGCAGAACGTGCCTGGGCAGTCGCTGCCGTTTCTCCCAAACTTGCTCTGTGTCAAAGGGGCCGACAGCATGTGAGGGACGACCGGAAGCGGGCGAGTTCATGGATTCAAGAAGAGGCCAAGGACATCGCCCCCACCCCAGGATCCACAGTGGGACAAACATGGGCCGAAAGGGGCTGGGTTCTGGAGTCGTCCCACTGCCTTGGCCGAGTGTCCCCTGCCCTGTGTCCTCCCGCTGCCCGGGGCCCAGCTGGCAGACACACCCTGGTCGGCACCCAGGCCCTCAGCCTCTCTGATCTCCCCTCCCACCATCTCTCCTTCCTTCTCAGTCTGTGGCCTCTTTCCTCAGAACTTGTTAGGGGTGACCAAGTGACAGCTGAGGATTTTTTTGAGACCTGCCCCCAAAGTGGGTCACCCCACTAATCAGCCAGCTCTCCCGGAAAGGCAGTCTGTGTCGGAAACCATCTCTGCCACTGATCAGGCCACTCGGGCGGGCCATGCAGCCTCCAGTGGCCATCGCTCCTCCTCCACGCCCGGAGCTCCTGCAGGCCGAGCCGGCACACCGGGCACCTCCGCAGCGGCCCACCTCTCACCGGCCCCGGTGCACGCGCTGCCGCTAGGGCCCCGTAACCGCCACTAGGTGTGCCTACTGGTGCCATCCCGGGGCCCCTGTCTTTACAGCACGCCCAGAGGCATGATATTTGAATACAGAACTAGAAGTTTCCATAGAGAATCACAGACTTGAAGGAAAAGGTGGGATTTCCTTCACACCACTTCTCATAGGAGGCCTTAAAGCAACAGAAATTCTGGGTTTGGTGTCTTTAGGGAGGACAGACGTGGCTTCCTCGTCTAGAACATTGACCAGTCAGCCAAGACTCAGGGAGCGTTGAGAAAGCCACCCTGCCTGGTTGCAAGAGAAAGGCTCAGTGGTCACCCTCATTGGCTTGAAGAACAAAAAAAGTGACAAGGAGAAAAACTGGGTCTGAGCCGGGCAGTGAGCACACAAGTTCAGGGGCATGAGACTCCCTGTGGAGGTCAGGTCAGTCCCAGAGATTCCAGGACAGCAGCCGCTATTGTCTTCACTGAGACTCTGGGTCCCCCTGAAGTCTGGGTGACACAAATACTGTCACTACCAGCTTCAAGCAGAGGGACTGGAAAGGAAGGCTCAGGATTGGTTGGCTGACCTAGCTCTGTGACTGCCCCAGCTGACAGAAGCCCACGCAGTTGAGAAAGGGCAGGAGGCCCTCGTGTTCCCACCTGTTGGTCCAGCAGCACCTGTTCCACATACGGCGCCTTCTCTTTCCGAGATACCACGCCGTGACTCGGGGCTCTGGCCAGGTAGCAGGCGTCATGCTCGGCCACAGGCTTCCGGGTGCCATCGAGGCAAAGCAGCTCAAAGTCCTCCAGCTTCAGATCCTTAGCCCACGCCTCAGTGCCCCTTCCTGGGGAGAGAAGAAGGTGGCATCAGGCAAAGGGGACTTCTGGGTGTCACCACCCACTGGCCTCTTGAAATGCACGCCCTGGGGTCTCAGCGATGTGAAGGACAGAGAAGAAATCACTGTCCTGCACACACTGTGCGAGCTCCAAACACAGTGAATGTCAACGCCGTATCCACATGGCGAGCTAGAACTCGGCCAGAAAAAGGAGTGAAGTGCTCGCACACCCCACAACACAGGTGAACCTGGAAAGTGAGACGCTCAGGGAAGGAAGCCGGTCACGGCAGGCCAGGCAGTGCAGGGTTCCGTCCCAGCGAACCAGGCAAAGCAGCCTAATCTGGGAGACAGACGGCAGGGGAACGGCTGCCAGCTATGGGCGTACCATTTCCTTTTTTTCTCTCTTTCTTACTGAGCACCTGTGTTTTCTGCTCAGAGCATCTACAAGGCCGACACCAAGGTGCTGGCCAGGCTGGGTGCTTGTGTGGATGCGGGGTTCCTTTACACAGGTACGTGAGCATTCTGGAATGAGGCTGTGGTGGTGGTTACACTGAAGACCGCCGAGCTGTGCACTCTGAACAGGTGGGCTTAAGGTAGGCGGATGGTGTCTCCACAAAGCTGTTAAATTTTTTGTCCTCCATCTGTGCCATATTTTTTCAGTGAGTTCCAGAATAAAGAACAGCTGGCTTATGTTCAATCATTTCCTCATTCCTTTCCCATTCACGTGCTCTCAGCGGGACCAGAGAAAAGAAGGAAATTTTCTGGGTTTCTCCAATACACTTAGTCAATTCCAATAAAGCACAGTTGTAAAATCCTACAGAAGTTTAAAACTAAAGTTGACGTCTGATCCCGGGAGATCGCTTAGGTGAATGGCTCATAAATTCTGAAGGGAACTGCATGATGTCTGCGCGCAGACGCGGGTTCACTGTTCAGGCCCCTGCTTCTCTCCCGCCACCTCCCCTCCAGGAAGCACCCCGCCCCTTCTGTTGGCCTTGTCCATTTGATCTGGAGGTCGTTCCAAATCTACATGTCTGGCCTCCATCCCTCTCCCAAAAGATGTGAGGAGGAAGGAGCAGCCGTGGCCATCCATATCTCTGAAGGAGGGAGGCAGAAGTTCGGGCAGTTCTTTCTTAGGGGACAAAATGGCAAGGCCCCTGCTGACGAGGAGGAGAGGGGAGGCTGAGTGGGACACACGAGGGGGCGCAGTGGGGAGTCTTGAATTTGGTCACCGCGTTTTTCATCTAGAGACGCAGAGAGAAAGCGGTCATTCAACATGGGCTGGTAGTTTATCTTCCATCACCTGCATCTGCTTGTGATTCTTGTCCCCAGTTACTCCCAGGGAGTTTCTAGACGGGGACTCGCATGGGGGTGAATGGAGGTCCCCTACTTCCTTTTTAAAAGGGAAATTTTATTTGCATAAGTTTGATTTTTTTTTGCAATATCATTCATATTCAGTCTCCCATTGGCTGGGATAGGAGGACATGTGTTTTTGTGGTTGTCTAGACAAAAACAGGAGACATTTGCTTTAGAGTATTGCTGGTGTGTGTGTGTGTGTGTGTGTGTGTGTGTGTGTGTGTATGTGAGGGGGGACTGTTTCAGAATCGATGTGACACTACAGACATCACCATGTCACATACCAAAGTAAAAACTTCCAAGATTAACTTAAAGGTCTGGAAAACCGTACGCCCTCTTCCCTGCCGCCAACACGGCCACAAGAAGGTGCTGTGACGCCGAAGACTCCGCGCTGAAGGGGAAGAGAAAGGTCCTCACTTACCGTCCGTGTTCTCCAAGACGGTGGCGGCTTTCACAAAGGCCACGTCTCCAGCGTTCTCAGCCAGGCACCTACAACGTTCCAGAAGATAAACACATGGCCGGAGAAGAGAAACTATTAGAGTTTTCATAAATGTTTACAATATACATTCCAAAATCTGAAACACTGAAGTAAACACGGAAAAGATAAAGGCAAATATTTCCGGGATCTTTGAGTTTAAAATAGAAGACTGGACACATATGCGTGGCTTCCCTCCTTCTAAAGCCCCAATAAAATGACATTTATGGGATTTTTTTTTTTTTTAGCTACAAACCCATGAGAGTGAGCGGCCCAAGGACAGAAAGAGAGAAGATAATAATGACAACAGTGGACGTCAGAAAGCCAATGGAGGAGCGGAACTGGCGCAGCAGAGCGATAAAAAGCTGTAACAGTGCGGAGCCCCAGGAAGGCTCGGGAACTAGAGGCTGTTGTTGACAGTGACTGAGAACAGGAGGACTGGATCCAGCCTACACGGTGCCTTTAGGCTCCCTCCGGTCCCACGCAGCGCCCCCTCGCCCAGGCGGAGGCTTCCTCGCAGGGAGACTGAACCCAACCACCGCTACGGACTAGAGAAGCAGCCGCGGCCGAGGGCACCACCGCTACGCGAAACGGAGGAATGGAGTGAAAATCTGCAGCCTGGAAGCTCCAATCACAGCCCCTTACTTCATTATCTCTTCGATAATTTCCATCCTCTTTTTCTGATTCCTCTTTAAACTTTAATTCTTAAATGACAGGCTTTCCTAACTATTTATATTTTTGTACTATTTGCCTTCCTTTCCCTTCTAGTGTCTGAAATGTTTGCTCAGTTTCATCGCGATGTCATTTTAAAGAATTTGTATGGTTATTTTTTTACTTTCTAAAAGCTTTGTGCGTCGTCTGGCTGTTCCTTTTTAGATCTTCCCATTGTCGTTTCATGAACGCTGCACCCCTTTCGCCTCTTCAATGATGTTAATTGCAGCGAAAATGAAAAAGTTTTATTCTCTCTCCTACACTGTCCCTGGATCCCCTGCCTGTCGTTGCCTTGGTTTCCACGCCTCCCACATTTCTCCCAAGAGCCGGTGCTCGCCGGCGGCTTGTCCACGTTTAAGAGAGAGGCACCGGCAGTGTTAGGTGTGCGTCGGCCGCCGTGTCTCAGCGAGAATGAGCCTCACTCTTGGGCAGCCGATTGGTGGCATTTCACTGTGGGGCACCTGTTAACTGTGTACAGAGCATACAGATCCTTTGTGCAATAATGGAAATAGCTTACTAGAGCACATATTCATATGAGACTAATATTTACCTATTCATAAGAATATAAGCACTGAATATGACATAATCTTGCTGGGAACTAAAAGGGAGCGAAGTTTGGGGCTGTGAGCAGAATGAGGGCCTGGAGCTCCTTTTCCCAGAGGAGCAAGTCACCAGCAACAGCTGAGAGTTAAAAATGAAAAGCCAACAACAGGAGGGCGTTAGAAACACAGCGGCAAATGGGATTTCTGCACCAGCTTTCCGTTTGAACAAAAGGCAAAGCGTGGTGTTTTGATAAGAACTTGACATGTTATTTCAGTGGCAAAGAAGTGGCCACAAGTTTTCTATTAAGTTCTAGTGAATGTGAAATATATATATAGTATTAGGAAGAATGTCTGCCTGAGAAGTTTCCAAATAATAAAAAAAGTAAAAGTCAAAAAAAAAAAAAAGGCAAAGCATTTCCCCTAGTGTAAACAGGAATGCAGAAGCCGTGGTGTTTCCAGTGAAGTAATACCTTGCCACAGGTTCAGAAAAAAAAGAAAAAACCCTGAATGATTCCTTTGGGTCTTTAATCAGAGATGTGTCTATTCAATATTTCTGAGTAAAATCACATCACAACTTTTCCATTTGCAGATCCTTCATCCCTGAAAGATAGGTTTGTACATTCACAAAATATTCTTTGAGCCACTCAGAGTGCAGTATGTAAAAGCTCCTTTTATATCATCTTGTCACCGAGGAGAAGGCTACTGAATTCATATTAGAAAGTTCAGAGACCACGTCACTCTCGGACACATGGTGCCATCTGGTGGCCAAATATATTCTTGGAGCTTGGAGAAAAGGGTAGGAGAGGACTCTGTCTTCCGAACCCCACCTAACGCGGTAGGTGCCACTGCGTGTCACCGCGAAGCAGCGTCCCAGTGAACGGGGTCACAAAACGTGGGTGGTGGATATTCACTGCCAATAATTCTGCAAACCTATTTTTCGGTTATTTTTCACTTCCCCCGTGGAGAATAGCGTTGCAGTGCTGCTTGTCTTCTTTGTCATTTCTAAGGTCAAAACCAAAGAGAAAAGTGGAATGCGGAACACAATGACAGAGTAGGGGAGAGGACGGTGACTATGGAAAAAAAAAATTCCTCCCCATGAGACTGAGTTGTGGGTAGGACTTGAGACACCGCCTGTTCTATCCATTTGACTTGGGGTGAGGACGTTGCAGCCCACCGAGGTTGGCTTTGGCTCCAGGCCCCAGGGAGGAGCCCAGCAGAGCCAGGATCAGACAGCCCGGGCCGCCTCCACTTTCTGGGGCAGTGAGCATGGCGGGAGGAGCCCTCATCGGGGCTGCCCATTAGCCAAGGGAACCCCGGGCTCTGCTGTGACAGGCCAGATCTGGTCCCTTAGCAACACCGGAGGCACAAGGCCCTGGCCTGCAGGGGCCTGGCCACAGCGCTCACCTGAAAGCTCCATTGTAGCTGTAGTACCTCTCATTGCTGTTGGGGGCGCACTTGTCCTGGCCCTGCTCGTTGCCAATGCACAGGGCGCAGAGGTTGGAGTTGGGGTCCGACCCAGGGGCGCAGCTCTGACTGAAGAATTCACCTGTACAGGAGGAGCAGGGGAAGTCAGCTCTTCCTACCTGAGTAAACGTGTGTGGCCTCTACCTAGCAGGGGACACAGCTTGGTGCAGGTTCCTTCTGTTGCCCAGGACAGAGAGACCACACAGTCACTGTCCCAAGCAGTGACACACACCTCCACGTCACCAGGCCACGGCAGCTAGGGCGGGACTTAGGCATGGGGCATGGTGGGCAGAGAAGGGCCCCACAGCAGGTTGAGCCGGAATAGAAGCCTTGAGGTCCTATTCTCTTTCCATTGCAGGGCAGACTAAGAAGCCGGTTCTATTCAGTAACAGAAGTTGCATGGAGCAGACGGTGCCTTTTCCCAAATTAGGAAGCCAGCGCCAGTGAGGAACTCAGATCTGGAGCGCCGGGAGGTGAAAAGTAGCTCTTGTACCGCTCAGAGACTGCGTCCATTCTTAGGGCACAGAGAGACAGGCTGACAGGCAGCGTTTCACCTCGTAGTGGGGTGCACAGGGCATGCACGGCTGTGCAGAGAGCCAGTCCCAGCCTCGGGACTGAGGGCAGCCCTCCCTTCCCGGAGGCTCCCACCCCCCAGGATGCCCGCCTGCTCTCTCAGGACTCCTTACCGAAGTTGCAGGAGCCTGTCTTGTTGAAGAGCAGACCTATGGGGATGTTCCAGCCTGCCGTCTTGCCCACAGCAGTGTGGCAGGACTTCGTGCCCCTCAGGGAATTCCAGGTGAGGCCAGCGTTTGATTTTTTGACAACCGCCACAGCCTGATACCCTGGGATGACAGAAGAGCAAGTCTTAATCTCCAGGGGGCCTGTCATATGGACTCTAGGGCATCTGTCTGCACCTCAGGCCAAGGCAGGTCAAGAAGCATCGTCAGTAACGCCCACCCCCCCCCCCCCAGGTAATGCACTGTTAGGTAGGACCAGAAGGCATACGCTGCTGTCCTATGTTCAGGTGCGATTAACTTGGGCTGGGAAATGAGACAGTAAGAAAAGCTGATCCTTTCAGTGATTTCTGCAAACTTTCCTTGACCAGCCACACACTGTCCCCGAGTTATAAACCAGCAAATTCTCCCTTAGGTGTGAGCTACTAAAGCAGCAAACACTGAGCATCTAGTCTGACCCCAATAGTGTACAAATCCCCAGTAGCAACGTGCACTGGGCTGGAGCCTTGGTGGCCACCAGGCAAAGGGCTGTCTGGGTGCAGGGGTGTGTCTCCAGGACCGCCCTGTGTGGAGTCCTGCACTGTGGCGAGGGGGCCCATGTGGTGGCTGTCCTCTCCTGCCAGTGCACCTGACTGACTCCCACTCTGGGCGATAAGGAGCTCTTCCAAAGCTGAGCCAGCCCCAGCTGGGGGGGGGGGGGGGGGGGCTGGGGCCAGAGCACAGGATTCGCAGGAGAGACAGAAGCTGCCCCATCGCTGCCCATGAGCGAGACCCAGGGCACTTCGGAAGGTACTCTGAGCCACTGTGTCCGCATCCATAGAGATGGGGTTGTGGCATCTCTCCGCCCATGTGGCTGAGACGTAGCCATGTGTGAAGGTCAATGTAAACATCAGTGATGATTATCTGTGAATTATTTGCATCTTCAAAAGAACTCTGGCTACACCTCATTCTATGGTTTTTTTAAGTTTCTGCCACCTCTTCCTCCAGCAACAAGAACTTACCCTTGACCCTGAACATGATTCCAACTCACCTTCCGCTGGTGTGTTCACACAATCCAAGTTATTGCTTTCTTTGGATTCTGAAAGAATAAAAACAAGCAAAGGGTCGTGGAACATTCAGATGTACCGAGAAATCACAAACTTTTACATCTCGGCCGTGCAGAGTCAAACACAAAGAAAGCGTCCCAGTTGTTCCAGGCAGCAGACGTGCGTCCCTCGGTCCCCCGGAGGCAGACACCAGTGTTGGCCGCAGCTGCTGCTGGAGCCTTGCAGGGGGTCAGGGGGGGCGTCTTTTTGAAGATACCAACCTCTGTGCTGTCGAAAGACATCCAGCTAGTGAGCCCCATAAGTGGAATACATGCTTAAGAATCCACTAGGACAGGAAACATTTCATTCTTAACAACAACAAAAAAATCTCTTCTTCCTGTCATTGGTAGCTCTGCATGTTAGAGATTCTGTTCCCATGGAGCCTAAAGGGGCAGTGGCAGTCTTCCGTTTTCACCTGTGTGTGAATGTTTTAGACGTACGTGCAGCGACATGAAGCGTTAATGAGAGTCAAAATGCTTCGGTAAACACGTTTCCACACTTCAGCTTTATAACAATTGTCAATAAACCTGTTACACTGTTGCAGACAATGCCAGCATTTGGATTTTAAAAAATAAAAACAAGTAAATTTCTAGTTGACAGCAGCTAAATGGTGTCTGTAGGATTTTTATCACACCGCAGATTCCATCCATTTACTACTACACTTGTCTGCGTTGTCCTACATGCAAGGACGTGTCTTTAATGTCCTCTGTCCTCTGTGCTGTTCCTGTCAGTTGCCATTAAAATACATTAAACTATAAAATGCAGTGAAGGAGAGGAAGCCACTGTGTGCAAGTCGGTGACACAGCCCCTCTTGTTTACTCTTCCCGACTCTCCCGTTTGAGCGTATCCCTCCTTCTCAGTGTCTCCCCCTGCCCCGGACCCTGCCATGGGGGGGCGACTCCTCCACGCACCCACCCCATGGCCCAGGCGGAAGGAACCAGGGAGGACACTCCCCCCACTTACTCTGGCTCTCTGCCAGCACAGGCACCAGACCACATTTGCCGGCAGTGTAGACAAATCCTCCGTCCAAACTTATGGCATCAGCCTCTCCTTTCTGCAAAGACAGAGCGAGTCTCAGCATCACAGTGAGGCTGTCTCATGTCCCGCCTGTCTTCACAGCTCTCTGTGAGAACGGCCTTATGTCAGCTGTCCCACTGAAGCAGCAGAGAGCGGCAGGGAGTGTTTGAACTGACATCCAAAGGACACACCACATGCGCTATTAGCCCTCAGCCAGCCCCACTTAGTTTGATACTGTCACTTCCGTTGGGAAGACCTGACCCAGGCCACAGGAGCCCTCTGTCCCCCGAACAGAGCCCTTTCTGCACTCAGCATGCGCGTGGGACCCCCCGCCCCCAGCAGGCTTCCCACGCTGGGCAGGGGACAGATGAGACCAGCTGGCTGCACTCGGAGGACTATGCAAAAGTTGGTTGACAAAGAAGCAGAAATTTCTCATTAAACCGGCTCACCATCAGGATGAATGAGCCCGTGCTCCAGCTTGGGAACATGGGTTTATGGAGACCCCAGACTCTTTCTTGGGCCCCAGTAACATGTTTTTACAAAGGTACTAAAAGTAACTGGAGATGTGCATGAAGATTTCTAGTCAAGGAGGCACATCACAGGGTTACCCATAACGACAAATGGAAGGGACAAAGAGGAACAGGTCACGACCAAGCCGCATCCTCATGAAAGGTACCCTGACGTCGTGGTTTCAAAAGTGTTTTCAGAGACTCTGTATTCACATGGGGGAAATGGCCACAATACACTGTTAAGTGAAAAGAACTCAAAACCCACTTCACCGGTGGTGGGAGCCAGTGCCGTGGCCAGCCCATGCGCCGATGCCCCCGGAAATCCTGGGTGGGACACTGCCCAGACTTCCGCTGCAGTGTCTTGGTGTGTGCGGGCACACCTGGTATCTACTATTTATTCTACACCATACTTTTCTATAGTTTCCGAATTACCTGCAGTCATTGTGAGCTGTTCTTACAATCAGAGGGGCAGCAACCCCACAAGAAATGGCTCTGTAACAGGAAGCTGTGCCTGTTGGCACACTGTGCGTCACCCCAGGGAGCCCTTCCTGGGGCCCACCCTGCCGCACCCCCCAAAAGTGCCTCTTTAGCGCCCAGTCACTTCTAAGCAGAAGCCGCGATTCTCAGCAGATGCCCAGGACCTGGGGTCTTGCGCGGAGCCCGTGGCCCCACCCGCACCCGACACAGGCTCCCCCGCAAGTGGGCCCCTACCAGGATCAGGGCGATGCAGTCCTCCGGGCCGGCGGCTGTCGCACACGTCACCTTCCCGTTGCTCTGACCACTCCACTGCTCGCACTTGCGCTGCTCCTCGGGGCCCACTGCGCACCACACGACCTGGGCCCGCCGGGCCTCCACCTGCGCGGCGGCTGTGCGGGGACACCGCGGTCAGCGGGGGGCCGCGCCCTGCCCCCGAGACCCCGACACCAGCTCCGCTCACCTCCCCGGGGCCCCAGCCCCACCCTGCGCGCCCCTCCTGCCTGACCTCCCTGCTTCCTGCCAGAGGAGTCTCCCGCATCCGTCCGCCCTCGCTCCACCGGCAGCGCCCAGCGCCTTCCTCAGGCAGGGTCGCCCCCTGTGTTTCTGAACCCCGTTCTTCTCCTGGCTTCTAATCCACCCGTCCATCCTCAGTAGGACGATTTGTCTAATATCTCAGTCCCACAGGACGAAAGCTCCAGAACGTAGAGGCAGCGACGGCCCCCAAGAGTGGAGCCAAGCTCCGACCTCCCCAGAGCTGGCGGTCACCAGCAGCAACCACGGTGCAGCCTCTGGGTCCACTAGACTCCGCCCCCAACCGCCCCCCCCCAGGGGAGGGAGCACGGCTGTGCCGGCCCACTGTGGCCCCTGAGCCAACAGCGGGGGCCCAGGCACAGGGCGGTGGGCCTCTGGCCTCTGGCCTCACCCCAAGAGGGGCCCTGGCTCTCTTGGCTCCTGCTCATATTTCTCACTTCGTAGGAGGAAAATTGATTTTTCGGTCAGGGCTGGGGAGCCTGAGGTTCACGGGGACATGTGGCAGCATTAACCATGTGGCTGACACATGCGTGTGGAGACTCTCCCACGTGTTACAGTGTCTTTACTTGGTCAACAGAAAGCACCTGCACCCAACACAACCGCGGCAAAGACGTCCAGCGGCTGGGACTCCGGGAGTGACCACTAGGGGGCAGTGGGTGTGCGGTGCTCTCCCAGGGGACCCAGCCGCGGCTCACCGCCCCACCACCGCGCCCTCACTCACATTCCTTCAGGTTCTTGATGGCGGTGAGGTAGCTGGAACCGAGGTACAGCCCAGCATCCACCTTCGAGGGGATCCTCAAAAACCCGAGGGCGTTGTCTTTGAAAAGCAGGTCCTTCTGCCCACGAGGGGAGCTGAAGAGCTGGAACCTCCTGGACTTGCCTTTTCCAAACTTTTCCTGATGAAGGAAAAAGAGAATTGATGATGTGAGTGGTGAAGAAGGAAACACACAAGTGCACGCACACACACACACACACCACTAAAAGAGAGCATCTGGGAGGCAGGGGTGATTCTGAGAGCGGGAAGCTTGGCTGACTCCCTCCCGTGAGGGACTCGGGCCATTTCTGCAACACAGCTCAGTGCCGGCTCAGTCTGCAGAGCGTCGCCAGGTTGGAGCCCCTTAGAGCCCCGAGAACGCGGTGCGGTCCTCCTCGCTCCTCTCCACCCACGAGACACTGCCCGTCAGCAACGCCAGAGGGCTTCACAGCGTCTGCTGTCCAGAGGACCCTCCTGGGCAAGCGGTCCCCTGAATTTGGACACTGCCGTACGGGGGGTACGGCTCTGTGTCTGGCGTGGCAGGGAGCTGGGGGAGGAAGGAAGCTTCAGCAGCAACCCGAGCAGGTGGGAGGAATGTGGGTGCGGGCACCTGCGCCTTGCTGAGAAGCCTCCAGATTTCATCCTCCCTGCCATCCACGCTTCGGGCCACGACTGCGTGAGAAGGGACCCGGGCCAGGTGGCACTGCTTGAACTCCTCCACTGGCCTGCGGGTGTTGTCTGGGCAGAGGAGCTCGTACTGGTCTCTCTCGGTCTTGTTTGGCAGGTTCTCTGGGGAGGGGAGAGGGAAGGGGTTGGGGGACCCAGACAAGCCTCCTCCGGGCAGCAGCCCTGAGCTAGAGATCCCCGCCACCACCCAAGGAACTTGAGCTCAAGGAGATGTCTTGCCCACTTGACAAAACGGAGGTTTCAGAAAGAAAGACACCCCAGTTTTTTCCAGAACACTCAGAAAGGTAAAGATAGGGCTCAGAAAGCCTTGGGGCACCACCCAGCGATGCTGTGACTGGATTATACGGGCTGCCCCGGTGCTGGTGGGCCAAGGAAGCTCCGTCTGACCCCACTTGTTTCCATGGCAACCCCACCTAGAAAAGCACCTCATGATGGAGACACACCCAGGGACCAGCCAGAGGGTGCTGCCTTAGCCACATCTCTAGAAAGAATAACAACAGACAGTGCAGAAGGCCTGTCCCTGTGTGTACCCAGCTACTGTGTTTCAGTGAGCAGTGTGTGGCCCCTCGGGGACATTCTCCAGCGAGACAGAAAGAGGACACACGTAAAGGCGTGAGTCACAGAGCTGTCTGTGGGGAAGGGAAGGACGGGGTGACCCAGGCCATCCTGGGGTGGTGGGTAAGTAAACTCTGGTGGACACGTTCTGTGGAGCGTCCTTCCGTGGTCAGAGCCACCAAACTGGACATGCGTACAAGAACACGGAGAAACCTCCAAAATGAAATACTGGGTGGAAAACCCGGGCGGAGCACGGTCACAGACGCTCAGTCCCGAGGTTCCTCGTACCCAGTGAAACTTCCGCGAGCTCAGAGCCCAGGAGCCCAGCCCCACATGGGCATTTACAGGACCACACACATCTCGAGGACAGGTGTCCAGAACCCCGGCACAGTGTCTGCAAGGGGGAGGGAAAGGCAGCACCATGCCCTGTATGGAGCCTGCATACACAGTGTGCCAGGAATCTAATTAGCTCAATATGCAGAATTATGATAAAATAAAGTGAAAGGAGGCTGTCCTGTAGCTCTTCTCTCTGCTCTTACCAAACACCGTACTGTCCTTGACAAAAGCCACGTCTCCAGCCCCGTCTTGCAGACACCTGTGAATGAAGGCACAGGGGGGGTCAGCCCGGAGCAGCCTCCCCAGGGAACAGGGGCTTGTCTCCTGTGGGCGTCTGCTTCTCGCAGGGCAGGGCCCAGAGGCTTAGGGACAGCCCGACTGGGCAGGCGGCAGGGGCCACCTCTGGTGGGTTCTGAGGAGGAAGAGCTCTGCGGCTGGCCAGAGGACTCCACCTTTCGCTTTGAGAGCTGAGGGCAAAACTTTTTGTGTAAAAGAGAGTTTTGGAGCCTCTGCACCAGAAGACAAAGTCTCAGTATCCTTGGCCATGTGGTTCCTTCCTCCAGGACTAAGTGGGCAAATGTGCCCTGGCCGGCAGAGAGGTGGGAGGCCCCCCTCCGCAAAACTGCCTAGCCCAGGAGGCAGGTGGGGGCCAGGGGAGCAGCGTCGGCCTCCGTGTGGGGGCAGAGAGGGCACAGGGTCATCACTCAGGCGGGGCTTGCTGTCACCAGCTCAGGGAGGAGGCCCAGGTATGGCAGACCAATGTCAGCACAGACTCCCTGCCCCCTGCCCAGCCAGGAGCCTGGGACTGGCTGTCTTGTGACAAGGCTCCTTCAGCCCACCTGTGTGGTTAGGGAGAGGTCAGAGTCGGCAGGCAGAACCCAGGACCACACAGGGCAACACCAGACTCAGGGTTCTCTGGAGAGACTGAGGGGGCCACTGCCACTGGAAGAGATGAGGGGACACCCTCCTGTGCACAGGGTCTCTGTCTGCACAGCAGTGGGGGATGGACCTCCTCTCTGGTCCCTACAAGCAGGCTGAGCTCTGCTGGGGGCCAGAGAAAGGTCTCCTGGCCTGAGGACCGGTGGCACCCGGGTCGCTGGAGGGAAGAGGACCGTCTCACTCACTTTAAGGCACCGGCGTAGCCAAAGTACGGCTCCCTGGAGGAGCAGGCACACTTATCTTCCCCTGCCCCCGCACACAGGCGACACAGGTTGGGGTACTGTGCGCCATCCGCACAGGGGACACAGCTGGCGGAGAAGAAGTTGGCCACGGCTGCGGAACAGAGAAAGAGACGGAGTGTGAGGCGGCCCTGGCCACAGCCGGCCGCGCCCCCCGGTGCGCCCTCCCCTCGGGCCCAGGGCAGGTGGCAGCCCCTTCCCCCCCCTGCCAGGTGTGTGACCTCTGGGGTGACATTCGGAGCTCAGAGACCAGCTCCCAAGGGCAGCTGGTGCAGCGAGCCTGCCAGGTTAACCTCGCCCCTGCCTTGGAGCCACCTGGGCATTCACCTGTGTGACTCCTAAGTGGCTGTGTGTGAACCAGAGTGCAAATCCCTGCCTGAGGCCAGCTCACCTTCCTGAAGGGGTGCCGGTGGCCCTGCCCAGCCCAGGTACGGACGGAGCGTGCCCACAGGGATGTTCCACCCGGCGGACCGGTTGAGGCCGGTGTGGCAGGACCTCACACCTCGCAGCTGGTTCAGTTGCAAGTTGCTGTCCTTTTTCACGACGGCCACAGCATAATAGTGCGTCTGCGGTGCTGCAAAGGGACAGAGAGAAACAAATGCTCTCAGCACGGACCCCAGGGAGAGAAACAGACCCTGGCGCGCAGGGGACCCGAGTGCTGCAGGTTCTTCTGGGGCAGAGCTGCCCGGGCCTGGCCTGGTTCCCCAGGGAGCACAGGGTGTCTGCCTGTGGGTCGGCCTCCGCCCCAGAGCACCCAGCAGGGACTCTGTGCCTTCAAGTGTGATGCCACCAAGACCCCACATCAGCGACTCATTGGCTCCGACTCCACAGAGCCCAGGGCCAAGGCCGCAGCCCCCCCAGCTCCGGGTGCCCAGGGAGCACTCACCCTCCTCAGTCCCGTACACTTCCGCTGCCACAGGTCGCAGTCTGTACGGGTCCTGTCCTGCCTCATACACCAGACCGCCATCAAGGGTCACGGCATCCGCTCTTTTCGCCTGAAAGCAGGGAGACCAGACCGGCTTCAAGAGGAAGGTTCTGTGTGGCTGGGAGGACCTTCTAAAGGGTCAGCTCTGGCTCACGTCCGCTCACATCCCGTGACAGGGGCACCAGCCCAACTGCTTTAGCCTTCGAGGGGGTCACGCTGACTTGTTCGTGTGCCTGCCCCCCTGTGCAGAGTGGGGCAAAAGCAGGTTTACACTGGGAGTGTGTGAGACACAGTTTATTCCTGTATTATCGTGGGTTGTGCATTGAGTTACTTTCCATACGGACAACTGTCAACCTACTTTTGCCTGCCCCGTTGAGCACACCCCTCCCCGTGGCTTATACTTCAAGTTTGTTCTGGACACTTTCTCCCCGGCTTTTGCCGTATAGTCATTTCACGTTCTTTTTTACTGAAGAGGAAATTTAGTTATTAAGACCCCTTGAAATCCTAACAACCCATGTTTATTCTCTTTGGTTTATTACTTCTCGTATGCTCACGTGTTTCTTGTAGCTGCAAACTGGCAGAGGTAATAATATTTCGTGGACTGCTTTATTCCTCTAAAACCATCCATCTTCCTACCTCTGTGGAGCCTTTCTGGATTTTACTGACTTTGTACTGTTTTATTATACTGTGGTGGTTCCATGATTTATTAAACAGTCCCGCCAACTGTCCCGCACTTGGGACACTTCTGACACATTCGCTGTCGAGACAGTGCCTGCAGGAGCAGCCCTGTCCCCGTGGCTGGCTTTTCTTCCTTTCTGATGGCCTGTGGCCACGTGACGGGCACCTGAGGGTGAAGTCACACAGGCAAGGGGCCCGTTTGTCTTCCTGGCACTAGCTGCTACTGCCAGGAAGCTTTCCAGCAGATTCGTGCTGCCAGCTTCGAATGCCACAAAGTCACCCGGCAGGACAGGCTTTCATCTCGGTATGTTATTACTTTAGAAAATGCAAGTGCTGCCCTGACCGGTGTGGCTCAGTTGGCTGGGCATCGTCCCGCAAGGGGAAGGGTCGTGGGTTCGGTTCCCAGTCAGGGCACCTGCCCGGGTTGCAGGTTTGGTCCCCAGTTGGGGCGTGTGTGAGAGGCAACCAAGTGATGTTCCTCTCACATCGATGTTTCTCTCTCTCTCTCTCTCTCTCTCTCCTTTCTCCTCTCTCTAAAAATAAATAAATATTTTTTTAAAAAGAAAGAAAATGCAAGTGCTAACAAATTGCTTAGGTTTGTTTTTCTTCGATTATCAAGGGAAGTGTTGTGTAAGTATTTTTATCAACTATGAATTCCACTTATGAATACTCCATTCATTTCCTTTTTCTCCCGTGATCCTGCATTTCTTACCTGTTTGAATTCATTCTTTACAGAACGTGAGCTGTGATCACTTGCCAGAGCTGGCGCACTTTCTAAAATTTTTGTATCAATGTTCCTACTGGCTGTGAACCAATACTTTTATATTTTAAAATCTGTCAGTTTACTTCATCGTTTGGTTTATTGCTTAAAAACTAAGAAATGTCTCTTTCTGCTTTAGTGCCACTAATTAATCAGTCCTCTAGTTTTTCAATAATGCATGTTTTCTTTTTAATCCTTTAATCTATCCCGACTTTAGTCTGGTGTGTGGTATGTAAAACTGATTTCAAATCAGACGCTGGTGAAAAAGGCAGTTTTTGTGACCTCATTCACAGGTATTTGGATCAAATAGGTCAGAAAAGAGCTCTGGAATCAGCATTTTAAAGCAAAAAGGGAGGCTGGTGCTGTGTGTCCGCATGCGATAGCTACAAAATTATATCCTAAAACGTTGCTCAGACTAGATTCTTTCCCCTGAGTACTGGTTCTGATAACCTAGTTCTTCTTGAAGACTTTTACACGGATTACCCACCCTGTGCTGGAGTCCAGTATACATGACCATGGCACATAGGACATACATGTGGGGCGAGCCAGTAAAAACGATTTCAGTAGGTCTTACGTCCCAGCAAACAAACAGAATCTAAAGTCATCCAAAAGTCACGATTCTCTTGTCTCTCTCTGGAAATGTCTAGGACACGTGTCCTTCTTGTGCTTCATGTCCCGTGTCCCATGTCTCATGTCCCCAGTATGGGAGATGTGGTGGCTGTGACCAGCTGAGCTCACTGCTCTCTGGGCTTAGAGGTCACAGCCTTCTGGAGGTGTTACCTTGCAGGGTGACCTTGACATTTGCCAGTGTTCATCTGGTATAACTGCTGCTGTGTCCTTTCTGCACAGTTGTTGTCAACAATTTATGTTGGGGTCCCAGTTCCCCCCACACATGGTCTCCCTGCTTTTGAATGTTAATTTCTGCATGCCAAAGAACCTCCTGTCTTATGAGAGAGGACGGTCCCCAACTGACAAGCACCCCGGAAGAAAAGCAGAGGGAGCAGGGGAAAGCAGATTTTTTAAAATTTCATTCCATGCCTTTCCCTTCCCTTCACTTCCCTTCCATTCCATTTGGTTGCCCAACACACGGCGCTGACTTACCGCGATGGCCTGGATACATTGAAGGTAGGAGTCTCTTCTTACGCAGGAGATAGAGGGGCCACGCACTTGCCTCAGATTCTGTTGCAGTCTGGAGCACTTCGCCGCCTCTGCTCGGGATATGGCGCACCATCGAACGCCTCTCCTGGGGGTGGCCAGACTCGGTCCTGGGAGAAAGGCCAAGGAGTGAGGCTTCTACCACTGCTCAGGAAAGAGACCACTTAACCCTCAGGCGGCACTTCCCAGACCCCTTCCTCTCTCTGCTCTTCCCCTTCCCTCTCCAGCCTGCGGCTAAGCCAGGCCTCTCCTCCTCAGGGGGACAGCAGTGTCTCGCTGTCCCCCTGTCCTGGCCAGAGGACCATGGTTCTCAATAAATTTAGAGGAGATATTCAGAACCTCTGGGTTCTTTTCCTTCCTGTGACTAGAAAAATGATGACGATCCCTTGCATCAGTTTGTGGAGTTCTTCCACCGGCCTCGTCCCACTTGAACTTGGGAGGTAGGCAGGAAAGGGATTATTGCTCCTCATGTGGAAACTGGCTCTTAAGGAGGCTTCGGGCTGGCTGCTCGGCAGTGGCAGAGTCCAGCCTAAAACTCACATCCCCCTGGATGGGTGTGTCTACAAGCATCTCCCCAGGGGATGCCAAGGGAACTGAGGAAAATACACCTGACTCCTTGTCAGGAGCCGCAGTAAGTGGTGTCCCAAGTGGGTCAGTGCGCCCGAGTCACAACCACTCACCTCTGTATCAGAAAGACAGATTCCCCCGCCAAGCTCAGCTTTGTTGCTGGAGTCTACCCAGTTAGGGAGAGGGCTGAACCAGATTGGCCCAGAGCTCTTAAAACCCGCACGGATGCCTGGTAAAGGGTATCTATGAAGAATCTATAGTGGACATTGTATTAAAATGGTGACGAAGAAATGCTCTGTCCCCTAATATCAGGAACAATACAAGAGTGTCCACTCTCACTTCTTTTCAACACAGTACTGGAGGTCCTCGCCACAACAATAAGGCAAGGAAAAAAAAAAAACAGGCAGGAAAAGAAGTAAAATGGTCTTTCTTTGTAGATGCCATAATCCTCTGTGTAGAGAATTCTAAGGAGTCCCCAAGACTATTAGAAGTAATAAGTACAACAGGGTCATGGGGCAAGTTTAATTATATTTTTGCATACAGTTACATGATCCAAAAAGAAAATTAAAAATATAATTCTATTCATAATAACATCAAAAAGAATAATGTCCAGAACAGTATTTAACAGGAAATTGCAAGACTTATACCAAAAAAAATTGTAAAACTTGGCTAAAGGAAATATTTATCTAAATAAATGGGGAGACATTTATATTCATGCTTGGTAAGACTCAGTATTGTTAAGATGGTAATTCTCCCTGAATTGATATAGACACTCAATACACTCCCTATCAAAATTCCAGCAGGCTTTTTCATATTTTGCAGAAATTGATAAACAGGTTGTAAAATTTATGTAGAATAAATAAATAAATTTACAACAAATAGCCCCCAAATTTATATAATTTATCATTAATATTTATATAACATATATGGGAAAGCGATAAAACAATTTGGACAAAGAGCAAAAGTTGGAGGAATTTTACTTCTTCATTTTAAAGCATACTATAAAGCTACAGCTATCAAAACAGTTTGGTTTTAGCATAAAGATAGACACATATCATTCAATGAGAGAGATTTAAGAGTCCAGAAGTGGATTCTTTTGTGTACAGTCAATTGATTTTTTCCAGAGGTACTAAGGAAAATAGTAGAAAGGGTAATCTGTTAACAAAGGGTGCTCACACAATTGGATGCCCACACACAAAAAGGTGAAGTCAGAGCCCCACCTCACACCATCCACAAAAACTAACTCAAAAGTGGATCACAGAATTCACTCTAAGAGATGAAACAAACTTTAAGAAGAATAACACAAAAGAAAAACTTTGCCACCTTGGGTTAGGCAAAGATTAATTATCAAGGCACAGTCCATCAATTAAAAAATTAGTAAATGACCCCTGGCTGGTGTAGCTCAGTGGATTGAGCTCCCGCCTGTGAACCAAAGGATTGCGGTTTGATTCCCAGTCAGGGCACATGCCTGGGTTGCAGGCCAGTTCCCAGCAGGGGCGCATGAGAGGCAACCATACATCGGTATTTCTCTCCTCTCCTTCCCTTCCCCTTTAAAGATAAATAAATAAAATCTTTTTAAAAATTAGTAAATGAGACCTATCCAAATTCAAAACTTTTGTGCTTCAAAAGATAGCAAAGAAAATAAAACCAATGTCCAACAGGCTGGGAGAAAATATTTACAAAGACCTCTTGAGAACTCGATGATAGGAAGACAAACAACCCAATCAAAAGTGGGCAAAGGAGAGAAATAGACATTTCTCCAAAGAAGACACATGCACGGCTACCAAGCCCATGAAAAGATGCTCAACATTTTTGGTCACTAGAAAAATGCAAATTAAAAGCGTGATGAGATAATCAAGTCACAGCCATTGGAATGGTTACCACTGAAACAGAGGGTGACCACCACTGGCGACAATGGGGAGAAAGGGGACCCCTCACATGCTGCCGAGAATGTAAAACGGTCTGCACTCTGGAAAAGCGTCAACACAGCGTTACGGCACAGCCCGGGCAATCCCATTTCTACACATCTAGAAGTAAGGGCGTCTGTCCCCGTAAAGACTCCTGCTCGAATATTTACAGCAGCATCGTGCAGAACGGCCAAAAAGCGGACACAGCCTGGATGCCCACCGACTGGTGAACGGCACACCCCTCCCATGGGTCAGCCTTCGGAGATGAAAAGGAAGGAACGGCTGATGTGCACCGTGACACCAGTGAGCCTCGTTCATGCTGCAGACACGGGAGCGCACGCGTGCTGTGCCTCCCCTCGGGTGACGTGTTCCACAGAGGCCAGTTTACAGACACGGAAAGTAGAGGAGGGGTCGCCAGGGGCTGGGGAGAGGAGGGAGTGTGAATGGTCGCGAGGAATCGCAGCAAGGGGGTGGAGGCGCGCCAAAGCTGATTGACTGGGACAGTCGCGTCCCTTGGGAAAACTGCTAACACTCACTGAAACGGGTGAATTTCATGAGCTGTAAAACGTACACCAGTAAAGCTGTTACAAACAAAACACCAAAACTCCGGGTCGCCTAAGCCCCCTTCCCTTAGGCGCCTGCTTTGGGCTGGCGCACTCAGCCCTGGCCTCCTCTGTTCATGGGCCACCCCCTGCTCCGTCAGCCCCAAGGTGTCGGAGCCAGGCTACGAGGGTGAGGCGGGGAGACCTGTGGCCCCCAGGGCTGGGGAGGTGGGTGGGCCAAGACAGCCACAGACACAGGTGCAGACTGAAGCAGCTCTGAGCCAGAGCCCTGGCCCCTGGCCCACGATGACCTCCCCGCCTCTCAGCCCCTCCCAGGTGGCCACACCCTGTGCTGTGTACCCAGCAGGCCACACAACAGGGAGCAGAAGGAAGTCTGTCCTGGCCTGGCCAGCTCCTGCCTTAGAGAAGAGAGGGATGACCAGCGCCTGCGGAGAGGAATGTGGAGAAGGGGACCAGAAGGAAGGCACAGACAGGGACGGCACCATACTTCCTAGGTTTGGGGGCACATGCTCAGGGCTGCTCTCTTAATGACCCCCTTCCAGCAGACAGGAAGGGTGTACTGGGCTGCAGCGGAACTGGGCAGGGGGTGGGGGGAGGATTTCACCCTGACCCTGGGGCTCACTGCCCAAGTGCTGGTGGTCACAGGCCTTTCTGCTGCTGCCTGGGACCCCGCCCCTCCCTGAGGAGGCCCTGCGCTCTGACACTTATATCACCAATGTCCGTCACTGGTGAGTGTCTGCGGGGCACCCCAGAAACTACTTCGGATATCTGGGTACAGAGCTAGCCATTGTTGAGTCCCTTTTAGTCTGGGCACATTTGAAACCAGAAATCGATTTCCCTCCCCCTCGGAGAAAGGGGTCTCGCCAGGAGGTCTGCACCACCACCCTGCCCCTCTCCGGGGGGAGGCAGGAGGGAGGGCACCTGTGCCTGCTGCAGAGCAGGGGCTGCGATGCTGCTGCCCCCGTAGCTGCAAGGGCGGGCGTTGGACCATTCTTTCCAGTGAGGAAACCGGCTCAGAGAGGCTCCGTCTGGCCCAGGCTGGCACAGCCCTGGAGGCAGCTGGGGTCTTGAGTCCCAGGTCTGCTGTGTGTCTTGGGCAAGTGGCTCTCCTACTCTGAGCACTCATTGCCTCCCATGTAAGCGGCATGTAACAGCACCATGGGTGCCAAAGGTCCCGCTCAGACGAAGTGGGACAGGGTCCGCGGAGGCCCTTTGGGAAGCTGGGAGTGACTCTAGGTTCCCCCGGAGACTCGCCGACGCCCTCCGACCCCTCCCCAGGTGGGAGGGCTTGCGCCCAGGTGACTGCAGGCACTTCGAGCCAACCCAGCAGGGCGCAGGGGCCAGGATGCCCACTCGGTGGGGCGTACCCCCAGGTACCCGCACTCACCAAGGGCCAGGAGGGACAGCAGTGCAAGGAAGAGGAGCTTCATGTCCGAGGGCCGAGGAGACTCTGGCCAGAGAAGGCTCTGCCACCGGCGCCTGCTCTGCTTCCCTTTATCCAGGGCCTGCTGACCTCACCGGGTTGGCCCCGCCCTGTGGCCCAACAGGCGTCCCTGTCGCCCCCTTCCCCCATCCTTCTCCTGGAGGCTAAAGATCCCTGGATGGGGGACGGGGGGAGGAAAGGTGCCTGCCCAGGGCTTACAGCTTAGCACCTGGAGACAGAGGAAACCCAGCCCACAGCCACCCGGCAAGTCTGCCCAGGGGCTGCCTCCCTTCTAAGGTTCTTTCCCTCCCATTAGTCTGGAAGCTCCTGGAGAGCTGCAGCCCTGAGTTTTGTCCGCCCCCTGGTCTCAGTGCTGCCTCCAGGGTGGGACACAGAGCAGGCGTCCCAAGATGAGTATTTGTGAATCACCTTGACTGTGACCCTGACCTGTCCTTTAGCAGGCAGGTGGGTGTCTAAAGTGCCTGGGACAGGGGAGGGCAGGTGGGGCCGCCTCCCCAGCACCAGCACCGCAGCCAGCCCGGAGCCACACATGGAACCCACTGCCTCACCTGAGGGCGGCGGCAGCCTGGGACACTGCAGAGATGAAGAGACGACAGCGGCTGCCCAGAAGCTGACCCAGAGGCTGACCGGGGCTGTCCACGGGGCCCCTCCTGGCCCTACCAAGACCACAGTGCAGCTCCCAGGAAACAGAGCCACGGGTCTCAGAGGGCAAGGTCCCCACCCAGGCCCCGGTGGCCATCTCCCTGTCCCCTTTTTGCCAAAAAGAAGGATGTTCCACTCCACGTTTTGCTTGTTTTGTGACAGAATGAGGTGGGACATGGAACCCCATTGTGATAAATGTCCTACTTAGTCCTCAATACGTGAGCTGACCAGCTCCCTCCCTACTTCAGGGAGCTGTTTTCAAACTCTGAAGTTAGAATTCTGCTTCCCAGAACAGGTCGTGGGAATGCACGCCCACACTGCACGGTCGCTCGCACATGAGGGCCTCCAGGGTCACCCTGCGCGTCGTTAACCGACTGGGAGCAAACTGAACGTCCGTCTCTGGGAGGTGTCACACGGACAGTGGTGCCGTGCGCATGGCGGGACACGCTGGAGGCCCCAGCAAGGACAGGCCACCCTGGGAGTACTGACGTGGCCTTAGCTCCAGGAGACACTAAGTGAAGATATAAGACACAAACAGGGAGGAGAGTCACAGGCCACCTGGACACATCCTCTCAACCAGGCAGCCCGGCCAGTACGCAACCCTGAAAAACCGGTCCTGGCTCTGCGCTTCTCTGAGCAGATGAGCATCGGTCCCTTGAGAACAGCGCTGCTGAGGGTGGGCACTCGGCAGGCCCTCGGCCCTAGAAACGCAGACCCCACCAAGTCTTTGAGGCTCTCCCAGAAGCTCCCGGACTCCACCCTGGGCAGGGAGCATGCCACAGCTCGGGGCGGGGTCTGACCAGGGGTCCTGCTCTGTGGGCACAGACCCGGGCCCGGGGCTTGGTGCTGGCATCACCAGCTGGGCTCTAGGTGGCAGGGCCAGGGTCCCTCCCTGTTTGGAAATGCAGTATCGCAACGTTAAAAGAGGCTTTCATCAATAATTGCAATAAGCTCTTTCAAAAAGAGTGAAGAAATGCAAAGTTGACTAATGCTCAGGAGCGCTGAAGCACTTTTGTCCCTAAAGAAGCAGCTCAGCATCGCTGTCCCGTGATTCTAGAAGAATTAAGAACTCTCACAACCCCTGACTCTATCTTCAGGTGCAAGCCAGGAATAGGTGGGGATGGGAGGGCAGAGGCTCCTAGACCCTCTCGTGTCTGGCACACGTTGGTCGGATGGCAGAGAACCTGGGGCTGAACCTGAGGTGCGCCCCGGAGGCGGGACTGGGGCCGGCCGCGGGGCAGGCTGTTTTCTGTTGTGTCTGCAGGGGATGCGAAGACCCCAGGGCAGGCATGTGCTCAGCTGGACACACGCAGAACAGCCCCCCAAGGCCGTCTACAGAGGAAGCTCTTGTAGAACTGCCCAGACAATGAAGTTCAACCAATCTGTGATCAACATTCATTCATTTATTCATTCATACCAGAACTGGTGGACGCCATGAGGGACACAGAGAAGAGGGGGCCATCCTGGCCATCAGGAGCTCATGACACAAGGGGGACTGGGGGCAGGGGACACAGTCAAGCACGTCTATCATGCAGGCCACCTGGGAAAAGCAAGGCAGGTGGCACCCAGAGGAGCAAAGAGCAGCCAGTTCCCATTATGGAGGCTCCAGAAAAGTTTGAAGAAGAGCCTCTGACCTGGGTGCCTGAAGGAAGAAGTGTGGTTTTTACGGGGAGAACGTTCAGGTAGAGGGAGCAGCAGCCAAGCAAAGGACTGGAAGCCTGGACTCAGTGACCAGTGACCGCTCATCTGGCCATGGGGGACGACAACAGGTCGCTGTGAGCTTTCCGGCCTGGAACTCCTGTTGGAAGGATGCCCATCGCCTCCCCTGCCCCGAGCTCCACACCAGGTGCCTGTAGACAGCTCCTCCTGTGGCTCCCGCAGTGGCCAAGTCCACTGCATTGAAAACAGAACTCCCGCACTTCCTCCATCCCTGCCCGGTCTCTCACATCCCGGCCCCTTTCCACCAAACCCTCAAATGAAGAGCCTCGGAGTCATCCTCAAGTCCTCTGGCCAGCTAGCCCTGGGCATGTGACGGGCTCTCGAAGATCAATATTAGTTGAATGAATGAATGAGCGAGACAGAGGAGGGACAGGAGACGGGTGAAGGCTCCCGCTTACAGTGCGTCAAGCCGGACGACCAGTGCGGCCAGGGCAAGCTGTGCCGGCCGCCCAGAGCTGGGTGCGTGCAGGAGCTGGGCGAGACCTCGAGCAGCCTGCAGGGAGGTGGGACGCAGGTTTCCAAATGCTGAGACAGTGGCACCACATGACTGTACGGAGTGTGGAGAGGATGGCTGTGGACCCACAACTGTGTAATTGGCAGGAGCTGGTTAACGGGCAGGTGAGGGATGCTAACTCTTCCCCCAGTCTGTCTCTACCCCCAAAATTTCTACAGGGACCCCTTATCACCCCAAGGACTGCCCCAAGCTAAGCCCTCCAACCGACAGGCAGTAAACCCCACCCCCTGCCTTCTAGGGGTGCCTCTAGCGTCCAACCCCAAGAGGACTCTTGGGAAGGCAGTGAGACTTCCGGGCGCAACCGGCTCCAGGTGGGACAAAGGAGGAACAGAGTTCCCAAGACAGACGCTCACACAAGGCTCCAGGCTGCCCGACAGGGGACCCCGGGCGTGTTTCCTGCCCTTGCCAGTGGTGTGAGGTGACTGGCTGGGCAGAGAGCCACCTGTTCTACGTTAAAAATTTCGTGATGTGTTGTTAAAGCCATTGGTAATTCGAAATCAGTCATGGCAGGTATATTTACACCATGGAAATTGGCAGATGCTATACATCGGGGCATTTTTGCCTCTGGAGAGCCAGCTGGGGGCACACCACTGGCCGTGTCTGGCATGGTTTAGGAGCATGCAGCATCTCTATTAGTGTGTGGTGATGGGGGGCCTCCCAGAAGAGAGAAGAGTAATAATCCCTAACACAGGGATGGCACTTTTCACTCGGGAGAGGGCTGTCACAGCTCTCGTCTCAGGTGACTCTAACAGCTCTGTGCCTTAAGAAAGTCACTGTTTCTGCTCTAAAAACAGGTAAACGGAGGGCTTCGTGTGGTCGCACAGTGAGTGGGCTGCAGGGGCAAAGCGGCGAGCCCCGAGTCTCCCCCAACCCGGGCTCCCTTCCGCAGGGCCCAGCACTCTCCGAGCGCTCAGGGCAGGCTGAGACCCCGGGGTAGACTTCATTCTTGATCTCAGCAAGGACTGGACCCCTTGCGGACCAGGCACCGTCCAGCCCTTTCCCCACGTTAGCAGTGGCTTTGGTTCTTACAGAAGCACACAGACTGCCCCGTTAGACCTGCTTTCCAGGTGAGGGGCCAAGACAAAGCAGCTTGTCCACAGTCACACGGTGGGGTCCATGGCAGCTCCGTAGACCTCTACAGTTGCCACTGACCCCGACCCCCACCCAGGAATCCCCCATTGTTACTGATCGTTCCTTTGCTGCACCCTGAAGAGAGAGCAGAGAGTGAAAAAGAATGAGGAAGAGATGGACGGAGGGGACACCCTTCCTCTCGCCCCTGGGCTGGCCGTGATTTCCAGAGCAGGTCCTTCCCGTTGGCCCTGAGTGGGCTCCTCGCATGGAGCCAAAGGTCCTGCAGAGTCTTTGGGTGGGTGCCTGCGGATGGGTGCCCGGGGGAGGGAGCTCAGCTGAAGACTGGCAGGCAGGAAAATGGTGACTTTATTAACAAATAGAGCTTGTTGCCAAATGTTGCCCAATTTACAGAAAACCCGCAGAGACAATGAGCTCCTGTCTCCTCGGACAGGGCTCTTCCTCCTCCTCACCCGCCCCAGGTTTCCCCATTTGCAAGATTCACGTCCTCCTGCCAGGGACGCGCCCCGTGCTCCTGGCAGAAATCTGATCTCCACGGGCATCGAATCCCCACAGCCACCGAGATAAGAATGTGCAGCAGGCCTGGCCCAGGAAGGCTTCCAGGAAGGTGCCACCCCAGGGCAGCCCCAGAGTCTGGCGCGGGGCCAGCCATGCAAATATCTTCCCAGAAGGAATGAGGTCCCTGTCCAGGGAAACCTCCAGGCAGAGACACTTGACCCCTTTTGCTGCCACGTCTGCTCCCTGCTCCCTGCTCGGGGAAGGCAGGTGGCCTTCACAAGGAAGGCGCTTGAGCTGGGCCCTCAGAGAGGCAAGAAGCCACCCTCTTCCTCCACGTCCCTGGGCACCACCAGGGCGCTGCCTCCTCAGCCCCTCCAGGACCGGAGTGTCCAGCCCCTGAGCTGGGCTCTGGGCAAACTTTCCTTCCTGGTCCCTCCGTCCACGTCTTCTCTCGACAACCTGGCAGGCTGGGGGCTCAGGGGAGATACATGGTTGGATGCCAAGGTTTGAACCCGCCCCACCCTAAACAGCCACGTGGACCAGGGCCAGCCTCTCCACCAGTTTCAGCCTCAG